GGGGGGGGGGGGGGGGGGGGGGGGGGGGGGGCTAACCTCACATCCGGGGGCAGAATGTTCCATAAGGTAAGGGTGACAGCAAAAAGACTCTCCTAGACCCCCTCCGGTCAGAATTCTTTAACCACAGAGTCCATAACATGTTCTTCCTGCCTGACTGGTGAGATGAGTTGATATAATTGAGACAAAATGGTCCTTCAGGCAAACTTTTACTTTGTCAAATATATAAAATGTTACATTAAGAAAGAAAAATAACATTGTATCCTAAGGCTCAAATGATTAGCTTCTCTGTCATAATTGTGAATAGGCAAGATCTTTGCAATGGTCTGTTGTACACAAGATAATTGATTCACTTACCACATATATGTTACTTCAGACTTTCACATGATTACTATTACACCTGCATTGGTACTAATACAGGTTTATGTGAGTGTTGCCTTACATAAATTAAGCACTCTTTTGGGTACATTATTTTGTCCCGTTAGTTCGATTGGCAGTATGTACATAGAAGTAGAGCTACAACTTACAGTATTATGCATTCAAAAGTATATGTTCCATATAAAAAGCTAGATATTTTATGCTTTGATACTTATTTTAATAATTAAAATATAAAATAGAAATCTTATAAATAATTACAAATAAAGTACTTCTAAACTTATGCAGCTTCCTTTTAAACATGATAAAATTGAAAATGTATATGTATTACATACTTTTATGGTGAGACAGTGGTTAGCATGCAGTATTGCAGGCTAATTTTGCTGACTGCTGACTGCAAGCAGCTTGGCTGTTTGAGTCTGACTGGCTCAAGGTTGTTTCAGCCTTTCAGCCTTCCATGGTTGGTAAAACGAGGACCCAGATTGTTGGGGGCAATATGCTGACTCTCTAAATTGCTTAGAGAGGGTTGTAAAGCACTGTGAAGTGGTATATGTCTTATGTGCTATTGCTATTTTAGTCAAACTTTCAAGTGTTTACAATTTACAAAATTAAATTGGTTCTGGAATGTAATTATTATGAAAACTAAACTTTGATACTAAGTTTATAGTTTCAAGAATGCTAGACTTATAGTTTGGTGCATAACTTAAGAAGAATTTCTTCACGCTCAATATTTGCTTTCTGGACAAAATGCATTTTATTGCAGCTGTAGACTCTTTTTTCTTTTTTCAAATAATCAGGGTCTCCTTTTTATTAGCAGGAATCCATATTAGTATTTTATTACTTCCTGTGCAGATGTATTAATCTTGACAATAGACATTGTGTTATTGTAATTAGTTTTTATCAGAAATAAAAAAAGAGAAGAAAGTTCTACCTGTTGGAAGGGAAATTGCTGGTGTTGTGTTGGAAAGTAAGTATACTAATTTGCATAGTATTTCTATAAAACATTGATGTACTCCTATATTAAAATTACCTGACCCTAGGTTCAGTAATCCTCTTACAGATCCTATTACTCTCTAAGAATCTACAACAATCCAGAATTAAACGGAATTACAGCTTCTCGGCTACTAGAAGTTGTAATTCTGCAATATTTAAAGGACTGCAGATTCTCCGCCACACCTCTAAAATAAAAAAAATGTATGCCAACTAAGAGGTATTTTGCTTTTAGCAAATGTGAATGCTAAAGGCTTATCAGGATTAAAGTGCAGGATCATTTTATTTAAGAGTCTCTTAAAATGCATTTTTACTGGTCCTGTATAAAAGTTTGCATTAATGCTGCAATGGAGACAGTAGTTGCCACAATTATGTATACATAAGCCATTATTTTATAAATGACAATAACATGTTTATACAACATATTAGGCCAAAATTTAAAGAAGCCATGTGATAGTTTGCCATGATAAGTTCACCTAATGAAGTTGAGTGAGGGTGTTAGGAAATTTAATTTAAAACATTTGTGCCAATTATTATTTAATCTACAGAAACACCCAACTTGCATTAAGATACATTATCTTCATTAACTGAATTTATTTTGTTTATTGCTTGCATGTTATTGATTGATCTGTGTTTGTTTTGAAGCTATATATGAAATGGATATGTAAATTTAATAATCTTTTTCCCCCTTCATGTATTTGTTTTTATTCTTGGGAATGTAATGTCCAGACTTGCTTTCCTTTTCAGTCTTCTATTAAATTCTATTTCAAAGAAACTTTTTTCCTTGCCCTTCTCAGAAATTTTTAAAACTAACTATACCGTATTTTTCGGAGTATAAGATGCACCTGAGTATAAGACACACCAAGGTTTTGAAGAGGCATTTTTTTTTAAAAGTAGTTAGGTAGATAGGGATAGACAGGGAGAGAAAGAGAGAGAAATATAGTAGGTAGGTAGGGGGAGAGAGAGTAGTTAGATAGGTAGGTAAATAAAGGGAGAGAGAAAGAGAGATACAGTAGGTAGAGAGAGAGAGTAGTTAGGTAGGTAGGTAGATAAAGGGATATAGAGAGAGAAATAGAGAGAAATACGGTTAGGTAGGTAGGTAGGTAGGTAGGTAGGTAGAGGAATAGAGAGAGAGAAATAGAGAGAGAGAGAGAGAGTAGGTACTGTATATATTCAAGTATAAGCCTAGTTTTTCAGCCCACTTTTTGGGCTGAAAAAAGCCGCCTCGGCTTATACTCGAGTCAGTGAAAAATTTGCCC